TTACAAGGAAAATATTCAAAGCTTAGGGTTTTTTGGTTTGGGAAGATAAATCACTTCAAGAGTTCTCCCAAGCTTTTAATAGAGACTGTCTTACAGACCTCCTTCCTTCTTGCTTGCCATCCTGGCGGAAATTCTTATATTAGAAGTAATTATATTAGGAAAATGTTTAATGTACGCTTTGATGTCACATAGTGTGATATAGCAGCTGGAACAATCAGAGCCAACACCAGGTGTTAAGTCAACTGTCCAGATCATCAGCATGTATTGTATGTACCATTCATGGGACAAAGACCACAGTTTCTGATCTATCCTTCTAATTGTCTATAGAAACCTAACCAAATGACTTTAAGTATTGTTTTTTGTAAACAAATCTTGCTTGCCTTATAGAATCCTACTCTGAAAAATGATTAACTCATAAAAGGATTCCTTTCTCAGTGACTAATACCAATGCTTAATTGAATTAATTATTATGTTTATTACATTTAACATCTAGAATTTGTAGGGCCTGATTGTCATTTATGAAGGCCATTGTTCTGGGAGTGTAAAGGAGTCTTCAAGTGAGTATGAATTATATTTTCATGGGATTTAAAGTGGGTGTAAATTACATTGCCAGAATGGCTAAAAGGTCTTCTATAAAATTCAGAACCGTAACATCAGCAGCAGTTAACAAAATCAACAAAGAGTCTGGCGGCACTTTAAAGAGTAAGAAATTTATTAGCATGGGCATCCAGTATATAAGACAGGCACAGGCTCTGCCTTCCCAAATCATCAGACATAGCACCTACAGTAAGCGTTCTGGGCTGGAGTGTTGCTGCCCCTACTCCTGCCCTCCCCGGGCTCTGGGGCTGGAGAGGCAGAGCTGGACCAGGCCATGCAGCATGTCCTCCTTTGAGCTAGGGAGTCTGGGACCATGCTGCACACCCTCCTACCTCCTCCAGAGCTGAGGATGCTGAGGCCACGCCACGCAGCACATGCCCTCCAACCTCCTCCAGGGCTGGGGAGGCTGTTGCCATGCAACACGCCCTCTGACCTCCTCCAGGTACAGGGAGGCTGAGGCCATGCTGCATGCCCTCTGCCCTCCCTGGGGCTAGGGAGGCTGGGGTGCCCTCCCTGGGGCTAGGGAGGCTGCTCCTCTCTTCTTCCCATGTTTGGGAGGGGGATCGTGCACACAGCATGCTACTCCACCTCCCCAAGGGGGCGGGGAGGGGGCGGGGCCTTAGAAGAAGGAGCAAGGCAGGTGATGGGGCTGGGGGCTTGCCTTCCCCAGCCATTCCTTCACCAACTGCCCATATCTATTAAGGTATTAGGGCATATGCTTTTGTGAGATACAGCTCACTTCCTCAGATGTTGAAGAGACAAGAAAACAGAAAAGGAAGATATATACAGATAGCTGTGTGACATCAGTGCTAATTAAATCAGAGTGGATGTGGCCCATTTCCAACCGTGATGAGAAGGTTTGAGTACTTGAAAGGGAAATTACCTGTTGTAATGTGAGAACCACTCAGTGTTTCTATTTAAACCCTGTTTCAGGTATCAAATTTATATATGAGTTCCAGCTCAGCAGGTGCACATTGCAGTCTGATTTTGTAGGATTTTTTTGCCTGAGAATATCAACTTGCAAGTCAGAAATTGTTTGTCCAGGGAGGTTAAAGTGCTCCCCACTGTTTTTTGAATGTTGTCATTCTTAATGTCTGATTTGTATCCATTTATTCTTTTGCGTAGAGATAGTACGGTTTGTTGGATGTACTAAAGCTTATGCCCTAGAACACTTATAATTTTGTTAATCCATAAAGTGTCACTAAACTCCTTGTTGCTCTTGCTGAAAGAGAGTAACACAGTTACCCCTCTGAAGTGGGTTTCTCTGTAATAAAATGGGCTAAAAATAGCTAGTAACTGAGATCTATTGATAAACATATGACTTCTACCAGCAACACTAATTATGCTTCTTAACTCTTGTAACCATGATTATGGATGAAGCCTCCTGTGCTGAAAGAATTTTGTAAATTGTCCGCTAATCTAATTTATTCCTCTGGAATGCCATTCTGTCTTGGAGCATGCTGAGCAAAAGAAGCATGTACACTTTTTTTCTCTCTGTTACCATGTCATTCTTCATAATTTCTAGAAAAAAATTGCATTAATTTCTGGAAAAAAATAAGAAAAACTGCTAGTAACAATGAACATACTGAACTCATTTGTGGTCCTAGTGTATTAAAATATAAACCATCTTTCCTGAGAAAATGTACCTGAAAATAAGAAGGATGATTTTTAACGTGCTGTGCAGCATAAGCAAAATTTTATTGATATTTCTGTTTTAGTAATGTTGCTATTTCTCTATTCAGTTCAGGAAGATAATAATGCCCACAAATTGAATTCATTGTTATGAAATTAATCAGTACTAAAGTCATGTTTACTGGCAGAAAAAAGAATCATACAGCTGTTGATTTCTAATACTCAGTTGCAAAGCTGGCTTTCTTATAAGAAAAAAACCTTTTATTTAGTGAAATAAGAACCTCAAAAGACATTGAGTTCCCAGTTGGTTCAGCTAACATCCAAATGTTTGAATGTCTTCCCCAATTTATTTGAAATACCCAGACATCTGCAACAGAAAGTTTTCTCATAGGGTTTCTGGCACATATGATGATGAAAATCAGCCCATATTCACTGTGCCACAGTACCATAGATCAGGGGTTCTCAAACGTTTCCAAAGTGTGGCTCAAAAATCAATGGTGCTTTGAGTTATGGACTACATCCTCTGCCTTTTGCAATGATTTGGGCCACTTCTGCTCTCACTGGTGATCAGATTATTTCCCTGATCAATTGCAGCCTTTGCTTACATATTAAAGTAACAAGGTGTTTTGATGCAATCTAATAAGAAAAAAACAAAAACCATCACCTCCTGATTAACTAGCTTTCTACAACTATCAGCAAAGAGTCCAAAGAATATTAATATTCTACAGTCCATAATTTTGGAATGCTGCTATAATAGATGACTGACAAACTTCAGTATTTAGCAATCCTGTTAAAAGAAAAGAAAGGATAAAAGGAATAAATTCCTATTTAAAGTTCAGGGCCTAATATAAGTTGCCCTGATATGCTTCCATTCCACACTAAAGTCGTTGAAGCTTAAAGGAAATGATGCATTATGAGTCCTCAGATTCCCTGCTCTTAATTTGTGCAAAAAAAATTTTTTTGCAAATGGAAGTCAGCAGCTTTCAGTTGTTTTGCTATAAGTTGAAGTTTTTTGGAACATATCTTGGATTTATAATAAGGACAGCCTGTAAATGCAAGCATTTTAAAAGTGTACACTTCTCACAGAACTTGAAGTATGAACATAGGGGTGGAAAACAATAAGTTAATTATTTAATTTTCAGTTCTGCCACTGATTTGCTGTGTGTTACTTTGATCAAATCAAGTAAATGGTTTGCATGTTCATATACAAATAGTTCATATACAAATAGTTACTCTATTTGTAACACAAGGGCAACTTTGGTAACATCAGAGGGACTTTCTGAGGACTGAGTCAGTAATGACATTAAGGGCTTATTTATTTTTTATTAAAAATATATCAATTTGGACTTCAGTGATGTAGACATATGTCACAGACACCACATGTGAGATGTGATGAAGTATGGCCTGGGGAAAAAAGAAAGCAATATAGTCCTTAAAAACAGCAGCTTTATAAGTAAAAGGAGTCTGGAAACTCCTATTATAAGAACACAAGACCAGTCTGAGGCCCTAATTCCCCAAACAACTGTGCACATGCTTAACATAATTCATGGGAGAGGACCTCAGGAGGGCCTGAAGGCCCACACATATTTTATTTCACAAACGCAAGCGCCACACATATACTGCTTTTAAAATATTCCTTGATTTCTGAGGATACACTGAAGACTTCTGTTTCTAGTAGCTTTTCCATAGGAAACTTACCAAGTGAAGCTAACACAATTTTAAATGGACACATATACACGATAGTACCATCCTGATGTATGTGATCATAGGTTTACAACTGCCACCAAACTTGATTTTCAAAGATGAAGAAAACCTCTGATACAGTCTATATAATTCTTATTAAAATATATTTCTTTCTAACTATATGACAGTATTTCAAACTTACACATAACTATCTTTGCAGTAGAGTGTCCTCTGTCATATTGTAACAGAGATATGTTTTTTGTGATTTTTTGGTTTGCTGTAGTTTAAATGCTTGGTGTATTAGCTGCCTGCAGGTGTTTCTGAAATGTTAACATTTTTCTAGTTGATTTGGCACACCACATCTGTTTAGGGCTTCCCTCTTAGATATATTGCAATGGATTCCTAGAATTCTAAATATAAAGCATGGATTCAAATAAAAACAATCCTTAATATGTAATCTGGTTCATTGCTCTTAGAAATAATGTTTTTGTTCTTAAGCAAATATTTCTTCAATAAAGAGAAATGATCTACTCATCTGTGCATGGGAATAGAAATTAATGACTCCTGAGTCTTTATCCTGACTATAGCTTATGCTCTAAATCTTTGGCACCTACTTTCTGCCCCTTTGGCTTGGTCTACACTAGGACTTTATAGAATCATAGAACACTAGAACTGGAAGTGACCTTGAGAGGTCACTGAGTCCAGTCACCTGCCCTCACAATAGGACGAAGCACTGTCTAGATCATCCCTGACAGGTGTCTGTCTAAACTGCATTTAAATATCTCCAGTGATGGAGATTCCACAACGTCCCTAGGCAATTTATTCCAGTGTTTAACCACCCTGATAGGCAGGAAGTTTTTCCTGATGTCCAACCTAAACCTCCCTTGCTGCAATTTAAGCCCATTGCTTCTTGTCCTATCCTCAGAGGCCAAGGATAACTATTTTTCTCCCTCTTCCTTATAACACCCTTTTAGATACAGGCAGTCCCCGACTTACATGGATCCGACTTACGTCGGATCCCTAGATACGAACGAACAGGGTGAGGCAACTCCCGCACATGCGCAGCAGCATTCCCGGGGCTCGCTCACCTGGGTCCTAGGATCCTCCTCCTCCTCGGGCCGGCTCCGACTGGGGTCCCGCAGAGCTGCCGGGCAGAGGAAAAGTGCCTCCCCACGCCCGCTGCCCCCCC